CTATCACATGCTCTTTAATTTTGTGTCTATTCTCCTTCTACTACTAATTTATCCGTGTTTTCTTTCTTTCATTTTACTGGAACACAAACTTTTTTATTTAACAAATATTTGATGTAGATCAATGTTTATTTCAACATAAAATGTAATAGCCATGTGAAAAATTCTCGACAAAGCAATTTCTTATTGAATTTTTCTCATCCTTCACTCAACATATACTACAGTTATTTATCAAAAAGAAATCGATAACTACTATTATGGAAAAAAAAAGCACATGCATAAAGTCAGTTACAATCTTAGTCATTGATTTTTAATTCCACTATAAGTATATTGATTTAAGTAAATTGACTTCACCTATTTATATATTTATACTATTATTTAAAATATTTTACAACTTACTTTTGGATTTTAATTAGATAAATTTATTTTTTAATAAATATAAAGTAATTTCTTTATTTAATAAATTAAGCAATTCAATATTTTTTTTTTTGGTTTTTAAATAACTAAATATTTTTTTTGAAATAACCATTACATAAGATTTTTTAATATTATTTTAACAATATAATATATATATATATATATATATATATATATATATATATATATATATTTTAAAATAAATTTAGGAAATAAGAATGTCCAAACATAATTTGTAACATACTGTCCATTGTTGTTGGTTTCCTTTGTACCAAGCCCTAGGAAATTGAGGATTAGTACAAAGATGAAGAAAACATAATAATAACGCGGTAACAATTTGTTTCTCCTTCGTGTTCTCTCACAGTCCACTCCATTGCAGTGCAGCAACTTGAATTGAGATTCTGAGACACCACCATGTTCTTGAGTGCTTGAAGTAACTACTTCGTGCAGAGATGATGCACCTCAAGAGCCTGCAAAGCAAGACCCTTCTGTTCGTTTTCTCATCCAATAGAACTCTCCACCCTCCTCACTACAGTCCCCACTACCCTCTGATCCCCCTTAGAAGATTCTTCTCCCCCAAAGATTCGATTTTGATCCCTCCCATGAAGACCCATCTCTACGCTTCTTTCTTCTGCACACTCATTCGCCTCTACTTGGCTTGTGGCAGGTTCTGCATTGCCTCTCACGCTTTCTCTCGCATGCGTGCCCTTTCTCTCGTTCCCTCCTTGCCCTTGTGGAACGACCTTTTGTATGAATTCAATGCCTGTGGCTTGGTTTCCCAGGTAAAAGTGCTGTATTCTGAGATGGTTTTTTGTGGGGTTGTGCCTAATGTTTTCAGTGTTAATGTGTTGGTTCATTCGTTGTGTAAAGTGGGGGACTTGGGTTTGGCTTTAGGTTATCTCAGGAACAACAGTGTTTTTGATCATGTTACTTATAATACTGTTCTTTGGGGATTCTGTAAGCATGGATTGGCTGATCAGGGTTTTGGATTGTTGTCCGAAATGGTTAAGAAGGGTGTGTGTTTTGATTCAGTTACTTGTAATATACTTGTTAAGGGGTATTGTCAAGTTGGATTGGTTCAATATGCTGAGTGGATTTTGGACAACTTGGTTAGAGGGGGGGTTCCACTAGATGTTACAGGTTTGAACACCTTGGTTGATGGGTACTGTGAAGCGGGATTGATGAGTCGTGCGTTAGCATTGGTGGAGGATACTTGGAAGAATGGTGTCAAGCCTGATATTGTTACTTATAATACTTTGCTTAATGCTTTTTGTAAGAACGGGGATCTTGCGAAGGCGGAGTCTCTTATCAATGATATTTTGGGCTTTCAGAGGGGTGAGGAATCTGGTGTATTAAATGACTGTGGTGTTGAAAGACAGGATGAGATAAGAGATTTGCAGCCAACAGTTGTTACGTGGACAACCTTAATTTCTGCTTACTGTAAGCATCGCGGAGTTGGAGAATTCCGTTCTCTGTATGAGCGGATGATTATGAGTGGAATCATGCCTGATGTGGTTACTTGTAGTTCTATTCTTTATGGACTTTGCAGGTATGGTAAATTACCTGAAGCGGCAGTATGGCTGAGAGAGATGTATAAAATGGATTTAGATCCTAATCATGTTTCATACACTACAATTATTGATGCTTTATTAAAATCTGGGAGGGTGATGGAGGCTTTCAGTTTTCAAAGTCAAATGATGGTTCGAGGTATTTCTTTTGATCTAGTTTTGTGCACAACTATAATGGATGGACTTTTCAAAGTTGGGAAATCTAAAGATGCTGAGGAAATGTTCCAAAGTGTTTTAAAGCTCAACCTTGTCCCAAACTGTGTCACATATTCAGCATTGCTAGATGGTCATTCTAAGTTAGGAGACATGGAATCTGCGGAGTTGGTGTTGCAAAAAATGGAGAAAGAACATGTTCTTCCAAATGTTGTCACCTTTTCTTCTATTATAAGTGGATATGCCAAAAAAGGAATGCTAAATAAAGCAGTTGAAGTGTTAAGGAAGATGGTCCAAATGAATATTATGCCAAATGCTTTTATTTATGCTATTTTGATGGATGGCTATTTTAGGGCAGGTCAACATGAGGCTGCTGCTGGTTTTTATAAGGAAATGAAATCATGGGGATTGGAGGACAACAATATTATACTAGATATTTTTTTGAACAATTTGAAAAGATCTGGAAGCATGAAGGAAGCTAATTCATTAATTAAAGATATTTGCTCCAAGGGTATTTACCTAGACATTTTTAACCACACTTCTCTAATAGATGGCTACTTTAAAGAAGGAAATGATTTTGCTGCTCTTTCCTTAGTTCAGGAATTGACAGACAAAAACATTCAGTTTGATGTTGTTGCTTACAATGTTTTGATTAAGGGGCTCTTAAAGCCAGGAAAATATGAACCAAATTCCGTGTTTTCAAGAATGATGGAGTTGGGTCTGACTCCAGATTGTGTTACATATAACTCTGTAATTAATACGTACTTCATACAAGGTAAAAAGGAAAATGCCTTGGATGTACTGAATGAGATGAAGAGCTATGGAGTAATACCAAATATGGTCACTTATAATATTCTTATTGGTGGTCTTTGTAAAACAGGTGCAATTGAAAAAGCAATGGATGTTTTGGATGAAATGTTGCTTATGGGGTATATTCCTACGCCAATTATTCACAAGTTTCTGCTTAAAGCATATTCAAAGGATAGAAAAGCAGATGCAATTTTTCAAATTCACAAGAAGCTTTTAGCTATGGGCCTCAAGCTTGACCAGATAGTGTATAACACGCTAATCACAGTATTATGCAGATTAGGGATGACTAAAAAAGCAAATGTGGTGCTTATGGAAATGGTCACGAAAGGAATTTCAGCTGACGTTGTTACTTATAATGCCCTTATTTGTGGTTATTGCATAGGCAGTCATGTAGAGAAGGCTAGGGATACTTATTCACAGATGTTGGCAGATGGAATCTCTCCTAATATTTCTACTTACAATATCCTTTTAGAAGGTTTTTCAACTGCTGGTTTGATGAAAGATGCAGATAAATTAATTAGTCAGATGAGGGAAAGAGGACTTGTCCCAAATGCCAGTGCTTATAACATACTGGTTTCTGGCCATGGTAGGATTGGAAATAGACGAGAGTCTATAAAACTATATTGTGAAATGGTAACCAAAGGTTTTATTCCTACAACAGGAACCTATAATGTGCTTATTCAAGATTGTGCAAAAGCAGGAAAGATGCACCAAGCTAGAGAACTTTTTAACGAGATGTTGACAAGAGGAAGAATTCCTAACTCTTCAACATATGACATTTTAATCTGTGGATGGTGCAAATTATCTTGTGAGCCAGAGATGGACAGGGCACTTAAATTGTCATATCAGAACGAAGCAAAAAAATTGCTGAGAGATATGTATGAAAAAGGACATGTGCCATCTGAGACCACTCTCTTATATGTCAGTACAAATTTTTCTTTGCCGGGAAAAAGGGCTGATGCCAAGAGGTTATTGAAGGTATTTACCCAGAAGAAGAACTTGTGACAAATGGTCTAATGGATGATACAAAACTCAAACTCTGACCAATCCTATAAAAAGTGACTCTTCATGTCTTACAAAGTCCAATTGGGATGAGGAAATTAGTGGACTGTAACCATCTTCTTTGTTTGTAAATGAAGGTTATGGTGTTTTAAGCAATAACACATAGGTTTAACAAAGACAATCCACATCTTTATATGACAACTACTGTCTTGTGATGCTAAACTTTATGTGATTGGACTTGGAAATTATGGGTGAAGTTCTTATCGTAACAAATCCATTACATCACTGAAAGATTGGAACTCATGAGAAAAGTCAAGGGTGAGATGGATCAACAATGAATTTTTAATGTGATGGCCGTGGTCAACTGCTACTTCTTTGCCAAGAATATATTGATGTAGCATACTCAATATGATCAAGTCATTGACAAACCCATCAATCTCAGACAGTCATTGGGATATATACACCACCTGAAGTAAGGGAGAACAGAACACAATTCTGCTGCGAACAGTTTTTTAGGTATGTAACCTTTATCCATGTATTTGATTGTAATATTGTATATGCACTGGGATATCTTGAGGATTCTGTACCTTCTCCTGGAGTTATTATCCTAGGTTGATGTTGGTTTCTCTTAAATCATATACGTGTAGTTATTTCTTTATTTGGTGTAGGAAATATGTTTCAGTCTTTAGTTTCTTTTAGTGCAAAGTATGGCTTCACGGTTGTTCAGAAGAAGAGACTAGCTGAGCAGAGTGCTATTTCCATAATAGTTCTTTTTTGTCTTGTAATGACCTATTAATGTTTTCATAATAGTTCTTTGCTATTTCCTTGATGTCTGGTTAGATGTTGTAAATGATTTTATTTCTATCTGATTTCTTGACACTGACCTGTCTGCTTTTACTTATTATTTGTTCAGGTACTTTTATGAGGCCAATTCTGGCATGGAAGTAAATGCTATAAGTAGATAAGGTTTATTGTATTCAAGTTACAGAAAGCGAGCTTTCGCCAGAAACTTAGGCATCTTTAAAGCTCAATTCTAATAGAAGTTACAAGGAAATGTCAGATAAAATTGTAGTGTCTAGTGTGGTAAGTGGCGTTCCTATTTTACCATCTCTTTTTCCTTTTGCATACATCAATGATGGAGCAAAAAAGTCATTGTTTAAAACCTGAAACAGATAATTAGTGTTAACCCCCACTCAATGATAAACAAAATTACAGACCTATGAAATCATCGTTATCACATTAAAAATATTTAAAATAGTAAAAGGGCTCTAATATAAGATCTAAAGCAATATTCTGATATAATATTAGAATGTGAGCTTGAGACGTAATATACTAGTTCAGCGTCAGGTCCTACTAGGATGACAACGGGTCGGGTCGGACACGGATAGTATCTACCCGCAATCTGATCCGATAAAAGAAAATACACCCGTTATCCGACCTGTTATTTGCATGGATATCCGCTTAAAAAATATTCGCGGGTATTTTAAAATCCACGGATACCCATGGATATCCACAAAAATGAAAAATCAGGAGTGTGTGTGCAGTCCAAGCCCATGAGAACAGGGGTGCAGCAATGAATTTGTAGGTGTCCTGCCGGTGAATATTGATCCAAGCCCAAGGCCCATTGTCTTGTTCAATTCAGATTAGAGTTTCTTATTTTCTTCATCCATCCATAAATGAAAAGAGAACTTAGGTCTCTTCTTCATCTCCATATGCGGCCAGCCCTGCTCTTCTCTTGACCAGCGTCGCCGCGCCTCACTGTGGCTGGCCGAAAGCACCGTCGACGAGCTCAACTGTGCTAGAAGCGTCGCTGCTCTCCGCAACGTTCCTCCCTTTGCGCATTGCGACTACCAGACTGCGCCAACCTCCGCGACCAAGGCCTGCCACCAAACTGCCACACTACACCGTTGAGTGCTCATCGTCACGTTGCCGCCGGGAACTCTGGCCGTCATCGAAGGTGTCACCTGTGAGGGCCAAAACGCACGAACCACCTCCCTTACGGTATGTGAAGATAAAATCATGTCAGCCTCTGCCCGAAATCCCCACTCGCCACCGACGATGCCGACGACGTTGCCGCCGGTGATCATCTTCCTTAGAGGCGAAAGCCTCAAGTTTTCTTCTTCCCTCATCCAAACCCGCGAAGGCCGCTCCTTCTTCTCCCCTCTCGACTTCTTTGCCTTTGTTTGAATAAATCTGAGAAAAAGACTTTGCCTTTGTTTGAATGTAATGGAGAAAAGAGGATGATGAACGAATGAGTGGTCTGAATCAATGTAATGGGGATGGAAAAATGAAGAAAATGATGGTTTATTTGTTTATTGTGTGTCTTAGTGGATGAAGGTGGTATTAGGGAACATAAATGGTGAATGTAGTAGGACGTGCGTTTTTGGTGATGGAGAAGAAGGTCCATGATGGTGGAATCTGCTTCTTGGTCCGTGAAAGAGGTGTTGGGATTGTGATTTTGAAGGAAGATCAAAGATGTGTAAAAAAAAAAGTGTTGCTTAGGTTTAACTAAAATAAAATTTTAGTCAACTTAAATTAAAATTATTTTATAAATTAAAATTAAATTTTTATTTTTATTTTTTCGAGTAGCAGATATCCGCGAGGACGAATAGTATAATAACCACATCTGATCCGTTTAGAAGCGGGTATTAAAATATCCGTTATCGCAACCTGCAGGTAGTAAATATCTGCGGGTACTAACTATCCGTTGCGGATTTTATCCATGGATATCCGCAGACGCAGATTTTTTTACCATCCCTAGTTCGTACCTTAACAAAACCATCCCACCTCTATTCACACCCCTAACTAATATAAATTTGATACATATGCAGGATACATTTGTATTAGTTATTAGTTATGTCAAAATGGATTCAAATTCATGAACTAACTTAGTTCACCACGAATTCAAGTCATATGTCAAAATGGATTGGAATTCATAAACTAATTCGGTTTACCATGAGTTCAAGTCATATTAAATTGAAAAAAAAAATTGATATGAACCAAGTTTTACTCTTGTGAATTTGACTCACCTGGATTGAAAGAGTGGTGAATTGATGGCTAATTCATCTAATTTTATTTTGGTTTAAACCCTCGGTTGGTCCTCGTATTTATATGGAAATCTCAAATGGGTCATCGTTTTTTTTTCGGTCTCAATTGAGTCATATTTTTTGTAAAAATGAACCAATTTTACCCTAACCGTTAAGTTGTTCTAAACTGCATTAAATTAGGTTGAGCTGTATTTTTTTTTTGATGATGTGACATTATGCATTTAATTGAATTTAATTGAATGATCTCTGTGGCTACAGTGCTTCTTCTTCCTCCAATCATTGATGCAGACTCCTCCCGTGGTCGCACAAGGATTCCGCCGTTTATGCGCTTCACACTGCGTGCTTCACACTGCGCTTTCTATCCAGAAAATCCAAGAAAGACAAAAAGTCTAAACCAAAGAATGATGTGCACAACCAGGTGACCCCTCTTCCTGAGCTAATTGCCGAGCCAACAAATGCAAGATCAATGTCCTTTGTTGGAACACACGAGTACTTGGCCCAAGAGATCATCAAGGGTGAAGGGCATGGAAGTGTTGTGGACTGGTGGACATTTGGGATATTCCTATATGAGTTTCTGTTTGGTAGAACACCATTCAAAGGTCCTGCAAACCGTGCAACTTTGTTCAATGTAATTGGTGAGCCTATAAGATTTCCAGAATCTCCAATTGTTAGCTTTGCTGCCAGAGATTTGATCAGAGGTTTGCTTGTGAAGGAGCCCTAGCATCGTCTCACCTATAAACGTGGCGCCACAGATTAAAAAGAAAAACTTTGAGAGAAATTTCAGGGTTTTTTATCATAAAGAAATCTGAAGTTTTTCCCTTTGACTGGCAAGTTGAGCTAAAATTGTGAAATTTCAGTCTTGATCTAACTGCCATTCTCGCGCCTCTGTAGTTTCCAAATCCATTCAATTCCAATTTCAATTTTTCTCAAAAGGATAACAATGTTTTTTATGTCTCGTGAATTTTGGGTTTTAATTGGGTTTTGTTGTTTTGATATCAAAATGGTTTTTGTTGCAGTGTGGTGTCATTGCAGAATGGAAAACAATGGAAAAGGACTGGAAAAGTTGAAAGATGAAGTAGAAGAGGAAAAAACAAAGAAAGATTGCAGCTTTTGAGCGTTGGAAGAGATGAGAGAGAGAGAAAGTGGTGAGACAGAAGAAGAAATTGATTTGAGATGTGACGTGAACAATTTTAAAACACATCAGCCATTCAATTTTAATGAACAATGCCACGCCATCAAAATATAAAATACAGTTCAGCTAAACTTAACGCCGTCTGAAAGCATTTAACGGTTAGGGTAAAATTGGCTCATTTTTACAAAAAATATGACCCAATTGAGACCGAAAAAAAAAACGATGACTCATTTGAGATTTCCATATAAATACGAGGACCAACCGAGGGTTTAAACCTTTTATTTTTTGTGTTTGTTTTTTAATTATATTTGAAGTTTATGACTATTTTTTATTGTATTATATTTTTTTATTTTGAATTGTTGTTGAAGTTTAACATTATTTTATATTAAAATTTATTTAAATTAAAATTAAAAAAATTAGTTTTTTTAATTGAAAAAATAATTTATAATTAAATGAGTTCGTTACTCAACTTATTTAACTTATAAATTCATGGTGAGTAGACTGTTTAAAAAAAATTTTAGGATGATCTTTTGACGGTATTAGTATTATTATCTTTTTACACATTTTCACTCTAAAAATAAATCAGAAACTACCACATCCTTTATATTGTTTTTTTTAGATACAGCAAACACTTTTAATAGATTTTAAATTGGTAATGTTTCGGATGTGAAGGGCTGTGTCGTCCAATGTCTCCACGTCCTCCTCTGTTCGTACTCCGAGTGTCCGGTCTTCCGTACTTGCTCCTCAATTTTCTCCTCAGTCCGCTGGTGGGAGACCTGCGAAAAATTCTCCAATGCCAAAGTCAGTTGAGAGCAATGGCGTTTTTCTATCTAACAGTAATAAATATGCAGTAAATGCAACCTATCTACCACTCACCCTGGATCTGTATTTATAGTTTTCGCTAATGGGCTTGGGATTAGTGAAAAGTTAATCACGGCCCAAATTCAGCCCAATAACTTTTAACCTCAACTTACCTTAAACCTGGTTAATTAACCGTATGGCCGCCCGATCTCCTAAAGATTGGCTTTCGAACCAGCCGACCCCTATAGGCGGCATGTGTAGCAAGCGACATGACCGTCCGGCCTCCTAGTGTATCCGGAAAACGAGGGTAAGGTTGCGCGATCTCGGACGCATGGGCGTCTGTTTTGGCACGTTGAACCTTCGATGACGAACCGAAGAGTAGCGTGTTTTGGTCCACTGTAGACGTCCGGCCTATTAGGCGTCCGGTCACTACTGGTACAGGTAATATCCCATGCATGATTCATAATGTGAAAAAATGAAGCATTATTAGTGGATAAAAAATAAAAGTCTTTATAACTTTTATTTGGGAGGGGGTGATCGTGTTTTAGTGTGTATATTTCACTTTAGTCTTTGCATTGGAAACTATTTTCTTAATTAAACAAAGGTGAAATATGTTTTTTGTCCTTTAAGTATCACACGATTTTGGTTTTAATCCTTACTCGAAACTTTGATGGTTTTTAGTTCTCAGTTTTGAAACTCTTACTATTAGTTCTTAAAATTGGACAGCGTTAACTTTTAGTAGATGTGGCTAACGGCCAGTCCACATGTGATGCCACATTCCCTAACTACTTTTAATTGACGTGGCAGTAAAGGTGTGGTGGTCGGTCGGTCTAGTGGGTGGTCGGTCACAATGTTTGGTGGTCGGTCGGCCTGGTGGGTATTGGGCAAAGACCGAACGGTGTTGGGTAAAGACCGAACGGTTATAATGACGTGTGGAGTGCAATATATGAAAGACCAAACGGTATTGGGAAAAGACCGAACTGTGTTGGTCAAAGACCGAACTGTGTTGGTCAAAGACCGAACCGTGTTCCACAAAGACCGAGTAGTGTTGGTCAAAGACTGAACGGCTATGGTGACGGGTGGAGTGCAATATGTGAAAGACCGAACGGTATTGGGCACAGACCGAACGGTTGTGGTGACGGGTGTAGTGCAATACATGAAAGACCGAACCGTGTTGGAAAAAGGCTGAACGATTATGGGCAAAGACCATTATGTCGACCACTAGACCGAGTGGTCGACCACCCACAAAGCCAACCGACCACCACACCTTTACTACCACGTTAATTAAAAGTAGTCAGGTGGCATGACACTGTGGGTTGGCCGTTAGTCATGTCAAACAAAAATTAACGCCATCCAATTTTAAGGACTAATAGTAAGAGTTTCAAAACCATCAAAATTTCGAGTAGGAACTAAAACAAAAATTGTGTAATACTTAAGGGACGAAAAACATATTTAACGCATTAAACAAATTATAGAAACTCTGAACCTTTTAAAGGATTTAAGCAAACTATTTGTTTTACATGTAACACATGATATTAACTTTCGTATGCATTCAACTTTATTTTTCAATCTTTCATACCATAAATCAAAATATATTTTAAATTTTTTTTATAACTTTTCGGTTATATTATTTAATAATAATTATATTATTTTTTAAGATTTAAAAAATGGAAGATAATTATCAATTACTTTTTAAAGTTATGCTCATATTAAAATTGGCGTGTCCAATCACGCTCTATTGAATAGGAGACTAGGAAATTCAATTTCATGTGAACTAATATAAATTTTTAGTAATGATTATAAAGGTTAATAAATTCATTAAATAACAATTTATAGTAAAAACAATAACTCATACTTACTGTTAATTGAACTATAATATAATTGATAAAAAACATTTCAATTTAATCCCAGATTAAGGCAGATATTTTGGATACTTTTCTTTTCACCGTTAATTATTTGAAAAGTCAAGCAAAAGTAACAAAAGTGTTTGCTTCTCACTGATCTCTCTCTATTCCGTTCAAAGCGCTTCACAGAACGGAGAAAAAGAAAATACCCATTTCTTCAGAGTGAAAAATCCACGAGACATGTCTTCCACCTTCGACGTTTTCACCGTCGACGACGACCACTTCGCAGCCCCCGCCGCCCCCGCCGCCGCAGACACCTTCTCCGGCTACGGCGACTTCTCCACCTTCCCCGCCGAAGACGTCCCCATCGACCATGTGGCGGCGGCTTCGCCGGAGATCTTCGGCTTCAGCGATCCCGATCCAGGCTACACTCAGTCTCCCTTCGACGTAGTCGAGAATGGGAATGAAAATGGCTCCGAAAACGTCTATAGCAACGGCGTCTTTGTCTCCGACGGACCGGTGCTGCCGCCACCGGGAGAAATGGAGCCGGAGGAAGGCTACGTCCTTCGGGAGTGGCGCCGGTAACTCTCTCTTTGTCTAAACCTTTTTTATGTTTTAAGAGTTTGGTTCGTTTTGTGAATTTCTCAGATCTTGTTTGCGTTCGCTTAGATCTATTCAGTTAGGATAGGGAATAGGAAGAAGCAAATTGATGTAGTTGTTTAATCCAATTTTACTTGGAATGGTTACTTGAGTGATTGATTTGCATGATTCCTCTTAGTATAATTTTGTGATTCGGTGGGAGTAAATGATTTGCATTCAACGGTTTTTATCTGGCATGGTCGCTTACTGGTAATGTGGACGTTGGATCTAAGTGGTTAGTTTTAAGAGTAAATTGTGTCGCATTAAAATATAAGTTGTTGGATGTTATGCAGCTTGGACTTCAGTCAGAGCTGATTCTACAGTTTGGCTGATCTGAATGGTGAGCTCATTTTCTTGCATTAATAAAATAGTGGAAGGATCGAGTATCTTTGTTGAGCGGTTGAAGTGATATGATCGTATTCCAGTTCACTACCTTGAGTGTTCCATTTTCCATTATCGTCTCTTCCCCAGGGAAACAATTTACAAATGACCTGATCTGATGATGATCAAACTTGGGGAGAATTGTGTCAAGTCGCCCCAAGCACATTTTTCTAGCGGAATTTATTTATTTTTCCCCATTTCCGTTTCTTCTGCTTGTGTAGTAGTTCAGGGAGTAATATAACCTAGTGTACATAAGATTCATCTTGTATGAATTTTGATACTTACGTAGGTTACATTGACACTGATTCTATCTATTTATAAGTGTGGTACATTATTTTGCATTTCTAATGTCTGATTTCTCTCTTTATGTCATGCATTGAGCGTCTACTGTAGTCTCAACGAAGATAAACTAACGATTTTTTGATTCATAAACTGCAGAATTCAAGTTTACCTTTAATATTAAGTAGCCGATGGTGAAATTAGATTTCTAATTTAATGTGAAATATTCATATTTGCGTTAATTTTTATGTGGTGAGTATCTTTACACGCAACTAAGGTTGGGGGTTCTTTTTCAAAAAGTTATTTCATAAACTGCTGTCATTTCAATTTCGTATAATTTCAAGTTCATATTCTTAAATAACCTGAATTTGAAGTTGGTAATTACTGAATAAAATCAGAGAACCACATAATTGTTGACAATACAATTTTTCTTTTATGAATATTGGTATCGGATGTGTTTTATTTTGCATGGTGCATCCTGGAAGATGACAAACAAATAGAATGCATAAAAAGGAGTTTTAAAATATAGTTATGTTATTAATTAATATTCTCAATATAAAAATGTTAAATGTGTCCCTTATTGTTTGATTTTTTGACGAAAGCTATTCTTGAATCTACGGTAANGCTTCACACTGCGCTTTCTATCCAGAAAATCCAAGAAAGACAAAAAGTCTAAACCAAAGAATGATGTGCACAACCAGGTGACCCCTCTTCCTGAGCTAATTGCCGAGCCAACAAATGCAAGATCAATGTCCTTTGTTGGAACACACGAGTACTTGGCCCAAGAGATCATCAAGGGTGAAGGGCATGGAAGTGTTGTGGACTGGTGGACATTTGGGATATTCCTATATGAGTTTCTGTTTGGTAGAACACCATTCAAAGGTCCTGCAAACCGTGCAACTTTGTTCAATGTAATTGGTGAGCCTATAAGATTTCCAGAATCTCCAATTGTTAGCTTTGCTGCCAGAGATTTGATCAGAGGTTTGCTTGTGAAGGAGCCCTAGCATCGTCTCACCTATAAACGTGGCGCCACAGATTAAAAAGAAAAACTTTGAGAGAAATTTCAGGGTTTTTTATCATAAAGAAATCTGAAGTTTTTCCCTTTGACTGGCAAGTTGAGCTAAAATTGTGAAATTTCAGTCTTGATCTAACTGCCATTCTCGCGCCTCTGTAGTTTCCAAATCCATTCAATTCCAATTTCAATTTTTCTCAAAAGGATAACAATGTTTTTTATGTCTCGTGAATTTTGGGTTTTAATTGGGTTTTGTTGTTTTGATATCAAAATGGTTTTTGTTGCAGTGTGGTGTCATTGCAGAATGGAAAACAATGGAAAAGGACTGGAAAAGTTGAAAGATGAAGTAGAAGAGGAAAAAACAAAGAAAGATTGCAGCTTTTGAGCGTTGGAAGAGATGAGAGAGAGAGAAAGTGGTGAGACAGAAGAAGAAATTGATTTGAGATGTGACGTGAACAATTTTAAAACACATCAGCCATTCAATTTTAATGAACAATGCCACGCCATCAAAATATAAAATACAGTTCAGCTAAACTTAACGCCGTCTGAAAGCATTTAACGGTTAGGGTAAAATTGGCTCATTTTTACAAAAAATATGACCCAATTGAGACCGAAAAAAAAAACGATGACTCATTTGAGATTTCCATATAAATACGAGGACCAACCGAGGGTTTAAACCTTTTATTTTTTGTGTTTGTTTTTTAATTATATTTGAAGTTTATGACTATTTTTTATTGTATTATATTTTTTTATTTTGAATTGTTGTTGAAGTTTAACATTATTTTATATTAAAATTTATTTAAATTAAAATTAAAAAAATTAGTTTTTTTAATTGAAAAAATAATTTATAATTAAATGAGTTCGTTACTCAACTTATTTAACTTATAAATTCATGGTGAGTAGACTGTTTAAAAAAAATTTTAGGATGATCTTTTGACGGTATTAGTATTATTATCTTTTTACACATTTTCACTCTAAAAATAAATCAGAAACTACCACATCCTTTATATTGTTTTTTTTAGATACAGCAAACACTTTTAATAGATTTTAAATTGGTAATGTTTCGGATGTGAAGGGCTGTGTCGTCCAATGTCTCCACGTCCTCCTCTGTTCGTACTCCGAGTGTCCGGTCTTCCGTACTTGCTCCTCAATTTTCTCCTCAGTCCGCTGGTGGGAGACCTGCGAAAAATTCTCCAATGCCAAAGTCAGTTGAGAGCAATGGCGTTTTTCTATCTAACAGTAATAAATATGCAGTAAATGCAACCTATCTACCACTCACCCTGGATCTGTATTTATAGTTTTCGCTAATGGGCTTGGGATTAGTGAAAAGTTAATCACGGCCCAAATTCAGCCCAATAACTTTTAACCTCAACTTACCTTAAACCTGGTTAATTAACCGTATGGCCGCCCGATCTCCTAAAGATTGGCTTTCGAACCAGCCGACCCCTATAGGCGGCATGTGTAGCAAGCGACATGACCGTCCGGCCTCCTAGTGTATTCGGAAAACGAGGGTAAGGTTGCGCGATCTCGGACGCATGGGCGTCTGTTTTGGCACGTTGAACCTTCGATGACGAACCGAAGAGTAGCGTGTTTTGGTCCACTGTAGACGTCCGGCCTATTAGGCGTCCGGTCACTACTGGTACAGGTAATATCCCATGCATGATTCATAATGTGAAAAAATGAAGCATTATTAGTGGATAAAAAATAAAAGTCTTTATAACTTTTATTTGGGAGGGGGTGATCGTGTTTTAGTGTGTATATTTCACTTTAGTCTTTGCATTGGAAACTATTTTCTTAATTAAACAAAGGTGAAATATGTTTTTTGTCCTTTAAGTATCACACGATTTTGGTTTTAATCCTTACTCGAAACTTTGATGGTTTTTAGTTCTCAGTTTTGAAACTCTTACTATTAGTTCTTAAAATTGGACAGCGTTAACTTTTAGTAGATGTGGCTAACGGCCAGTCCACATGTGATGCCACATTCCCTAACTACTTTTAATTGACGTGGCAGTAAAGGTGTGGTGGTCGGTCGGTCTAGTGGGTGGTCGGTCACAATGTTTGGTGGTCGGTCGGCCTGGTGGGTATTGGGCAAAGACCGAACGGTGTTGGGTAAAGACCGAACGGTTATAATGACGTGTGGAGTGCAATATATGAAAGACCAAACGGTATTGGGAAAAGACCGAACTGTGTTGGTCAAAGACCGAACTGTGTTGGTCAAAGACCGAACCGTGTTCCACAAAGACCGAGTAGTGTTGGTCAAAGACTGAACGGCTATGGTGACGGGTGGAGTGCAATATGTGAAAGACCGAACGGTATTGGGCACAGACCGAACGGTTGTGGTGACGGGTGTAGTGCAATACATGAAAGACCGAACCGTGTTGGAAAAAGGCTGAACGATTATGGGCAAAGACCATTATGTCGACCACTAGACCGAGTGGTCGACCACCCACAAAGCCAACCGACCACCACACCTTTACTACCACGTTAATTAAAAGTAGTCAGGTGGCATGACACTGTGGGTTGGCCGTTAGTCATGTCAAACAAAAATTAACGCCATCCAATTTTAAGGACTAATAGTAAGAGTTTCAAAACCATCAAAATTTCGAGTAGGAACTAAAACAAAAATTGTGTAATACTTAAGGGACGAAAAACATATTTAACGCATTAAACAAATTATAGAAACTCTGAACCTTTTAAAGGATTTAAGCAAACTATTTGTTTTACATGTAACACATGATATTAACTTTCGTATGCATTCAACTTTATTTTTCAATCTTTCATACCATAAATCAAAATATATTTTAAATTTTTTTTATAACTTTTCGGTTATATTATTTAATAATAATTATATTATTTTTTAAGATTTAAAAAATGGAAGATAATTATCAATTACTTTTTAAAGTTATGCTCATATTAAAATTGGCGTGTCCAATCACGCTCTATTGAATAGGAGACTAGGAAATTCAATTTCATGTGAACTAATATAAATTTTTAGTAATGATTATAAAGGTTAATAAATTCATTAAATAACAATTTATAGTAAAAACAATAACTCATACTTACTGTTAATTGAACTATAATATAATTGATAAAAAACATTTCAATTTAATCCCAGATTAAGGCAGATATTTTGGATACTTTTCTTTTCACCGTTAATTATTTGAAAAGTCAAGCAAAAGTAACAAAAGTGTTTGCTTCTCACTGATCTCTCTCTATTCCGTTCAAAGCGCTTCACAGAACGGAGAAAAAGAAAATACCCATTTCTTCAGAGTGAAAAATCCACGAGACATGTCTTCCACCTTCGACGTTTTCACCGTCGACGACGACCACTTCGCAGCCCCCGCCGCCCCCGCCGCCGCAGACACCTTCTCCGGCTACGGCGACTTCTCCACCTTCCCCGCCGAAGACGTCCCCATCGACCATGTGGCGGCGGCTTCGCCGGAGATCTTCGGCTTCAGCGATCCCGATCCAGGCTACACTCAGTCTCCCTTCGACGTAGTCGAGAATGGGAATGAAAATGGCTCCGAAAACGTCTATAGCAACGGCGTCTTTGTCTCCGACGGACCGGTGCTGCCGCCACCGGGAGAAATGGAGCCGGAGGAAGGCTACGTCCTTCGGGAGTGGCGCCGGTAACTCTCTCTTTGTCTAAACCTTTTTTATGTTTTAAGAGTTTGGTTCGTTTTGTGAATTTCTCAGATCTTGTTTGCGTTCGCTTAGATCTATTCAGTTAGGATAGGGAATAGGAAGAAGCAAATTGATGTAGTTGTTTAATCCAATTTTACTTGGAATGGTTACTTGAGTGATTGATTTGCATGATTCCTCTTAGTATAATTTTGTGATTCGGTGGGAGTAAATGATTTGCATTCAACGGTTTTTATCTGGCATGGTCGCTTACTGGTAATGTGGACGTTGGATCTAAGTGGTTAGTTTTAAGAGTAAATTGTGTCGCATTAAAATATAAGTTGTTGGATGTTATGCAGCTTGGACTTCAGTCAGAGCTGATTCTACAGTTTGGCTGATCTGAATGGTGAGCTCATTTTCTTGCATTAATAAAATAGTGGAAGGATCGAGTATCTTTGTTGAGCGGTTGAAGTGATATGATCGTATTCCAGTTCACTACCTTGAGTGTTCCATTTTCCATTATCGTCTCTTCCCCAGGGAAACAATTTACAAATGACCTGATCTGATGATGATCAAACTTGGGGAGAATTGTGTCAAGTCGCCCCAAGCACATTTTTCTAGCGGAATTTATTTATTTTTCCCCATTTCCGTTTCTTCTGCTTGTGTAGTAGTTCAGGGAGTAATATAACCTAGTGTACATAAGATTCATCTTGTATGAATTTTGATACTTACGTAGGTTACATTGACACTGATTCTATCTATTTATAAGTGTGGTACATTATTTTGCATTTCTAATGTCTGATTTCTCTCTTTATGTCATGCATTGAGCGTCTACTGTAGTCTCAACGAAGATAAACTAACGATTTTTTGATTCATAAACTGCAGAATTCAAGTTTACCTTTAATATTAAGTAGCCGATGGTGAAATTAGATTTCTAATTTAATGTGAAATATTCATATTTGCGTTAATTTTTATGTGGTGAGTATCTTTACACGCAACTAAGGTTGGGGGTTCTTTTTCAAAAAGTTATTTCATAAACTGCTGTCATTTCAATTTCGTATAATTTCAAGTTCATATTCTTAAATAACCTGAATTTGAAGTTGGTAATTACTGAATAAAATCAGAGAACCACATAATTGTTGACAATACAATTTTTCTTTTATGAATATTGGTATCGGATGTGTTTTATTTTGCATGGTGCATCCTGGAAGATGACAAACAAATAGAATGCATAAAAAGGAGTTTTAAAATATAGTTATGTTATTAATTAATATTCTCAATATAAAAATGTTAAATGTGTCCCTTATTGTTTGATTTTTTGACGAAAGCTATTCTTGAATCTACGGTAACACTGTGTCTTGCTTGCACTTTGATCTTTTCCTATTAATATTTAAGATCTATTGCATGTTTGCCGAAATCGGTTAACAAAAGTGAATTCATTGCAGTCAAAATGCCATTCAGCTTGAGGAGAAGGAGAAAAGGGAAAAGGAGTCGAGAATAAAGATTTTTGAGGAAGCCGAGGAGTATAAGGTGGCTTTCTATGAGAAAAGGAAGCTTAATGTTGAAACCAACAAGGTTCAAAACAGAGAAAGGGAAAAGGTAATTTCTACACCCAACACATAGTATATATTCGCAATTATCATTTTATGTTCCTATAACTTCAGAAATAAACTTATGGAGCAGTTATACCTGGCTAATCAAGACAAATTCCACAAAGAGGCTGACAAAAATTACTGGAAAGCTATAGGGGAGATAATTCCTCGTGAGGTTCCCAACATTGAGAAGAAAAGAGGCAAAAAGGATCAGGATAAGAAGCCATCAATCACAGTTGTCCAAGGCCCAAAGCCTGGCAAACCCACAGATCTTTCTAGGTTGAGGCAGATATTGTTGAAGCTTAAGCATACACCACCACCTCACATGATTCCACCTCCCCCTGCACCAGCTAAAGACTCCAAAGATGGGAAAGATAAAAAAGAAACAGCACCTAAAACAAATGGATCTGCACAAGGTACACCTGAATCACAACCAAAGGATGCCACCACTAATAACGGTTCTGCGGATTTACCCCAGAAAGAAGCTTCACTATCCCCTGAGGATCAGGCTTCTACATAAGCCTGATTTTGCACACTACAGTCCTAACAATCTTTCTTTTGCTATCCTTATTCACCTGGCAATTCGTTACGGATCCTTATGTCATGCTTCTGTGGCTTTTTTGGTGTGCAATTTGTTTTCAACTTTGAGGTTTTGTATCAATTGTATCTTTTATTGACTATTATTTGACCTTGGAAATTCATATCTTGATGGGTTTAATACGTCATTTAAAAATAAAGAGTATTTTTTCTCTTCTATGATTATTGCTTCGTATTCTTATTTTTCATTGTTTGTGTGTTTGATCCCTATCTTCGTATAATTTTATTCTCGAGCTTAGATGTATTTTTCTTATCTTAGTTCTTCGTCGATAGTAAACAATTTTGACGAATATATTATATATAGATCAGCATTTGTTATATAAGGAATTCTATTTTGTTTGACTTCCATTGTCATGTGAAATTAAATGGCAAAATTCACAATTTCGTTAGTCTAATTCTGGTTTCACAATCGATTGGACTTTTCACAACTGAGCTTGACATTGTTTATAGCTTGAATATGACAGATTTGGAAAGTGTTCAACAAAAGAAGGAATAATTTCTTAAATTAATTAAACCAAACACTAAATATATATAATCAATTATTTTTCAGAATCAAGTTACCCAAACATTTATATTTTCTTATCGTAAGTCAAAAAAGCAATTGCTTCGAAATATCTATTACAAAAAAAAAATCATAAAACCCTATTTTCAAAAAAGAAAACTTATCCAAGCCCACTTTATAAATTAAAATACATTTATAAAAAATAATATACAAAAAGGAGAAAAATGTAAAAAAAAAAAAAAACAATCCCTCTTTGTTCTCTTTCTTTCTCTCTTTCTTTCCTACTACTTTTTAACTCTGCAATTGACACATCAGACGTTTAGTTTATGGTTCAACGTGGGGCCAACTGAGTAATACTGGAAGGGTTAGAGCTAAATTGATAGCTGGTGGATTCAAAGGATGACTTCTTCTTAGAAGATGTTCCTGAATCCTGGAAAAACCCTGGTGCAGTTAGTTCCTTTTCATTCAGCCTCGTGTTCTTGGACAGCATATTCAGAACTTGGGACATCATTGGCCTTCTACTTGCTGCTGCTTGTGTGCAGAAAAAAGCAACCTTCATGTACCTAATTACCTCTTCCTCAGGGAATTCAACCATGTCTGGATCCACAAGTTCCAATAGTTTCCCATTTTCATACAGTTGCCAGGCCTGTGTTGTTGCAAAAATAAATATCATTAAGTCCACACCAAGTCACATTGAGAAGAATGAACACATAAGTTGCATATATGTGGGAAGATGAAATATACACACCCATTCCAAGAGGAATTTGTTGGACCCTCCCCAGTTTGTCCTTGCACTGCTTTTGCCACTGATTATTTCAAGAATAAGAACACCAAAACTATATACATCAGCCTTCAGGGTTAACTGGCCACCCATTGCATATTCTGGTGCTAAGTAACCACTGCATTTTCAATCCAAAGCAGGTCAGAACACTATTCAGATCCACTGTCCAAGTATAGGTTGAACAATTTTGAAAATGCATCTAACTGTCCTTCTTGGTTCTTTGTGAAAATTGTAGAACATTGAGTATAAACATAAAAGTTGATGTTGTAGAGCATATGTGGAGGAACCAGTGAGCAGTAATGCTCAGGTCTAGGAATGTTTTGACCTACATTTTCATTACAACTGTGAAGAAATTGGATATGCTATCAGAGTTTCTTGCCAATAATACCATCCAAGTTTTAGTTAATTCAAACAAATGAGGTTGTGAAGCTCTTCACTTTTCATAAAAACTACAAATAAATTTTTCCATGATCATATCTATTGAGATACAAGATCCTGTAAGGTTAGGATAAAATCTTTGTATATATTCAGATTATATTTATAAGGTTTAATTATATTTTTAATCCCTGAAAGTTGGGATAAATCCTTATTTAGTCCCTCAAATTAAAAAAAAATAACTAATTTAAGTCTCTCAAATGTAGTGAAATATGTTTTTAGTCCCTAAACACTAAATTAAGAGACTAAAAACAGTTTTAAAAAAATTCATTTTAGTCTCTTATTTAGTGTTAAGGACTGAAATCATATTTTTTCCATTTTGAAAGACTAAAATGAACTTTTTAAATTTGGATGACCAAAATCAAAATTATCCTAAATTTCAAGAACTAGAAACATAATTAAGTCTATTTATAATAATTAGGATTTACTTTTCATATCTTTTGTCTTACCCTTAATAGGTTTAGCCTATTCATACTTTCCATATTTCCCTTAATAAGTTTAGCCAATTCATAGTTTCTATCCTTCCTTTAATAATTTAGCTTTTAAACACGGATTAGATCTTGTATTGAGAAATCAACTAAAAATATTTAGTACTTCTCTTTTCCAGTTCCAGCTTTCAGTTTAGTGACTGATGTCAATAATACAACATAGGCATCCAAGATCGATACTAACTTTATAGAACATGTGTCACTTGAATATTGTTTGAGTCATCTGCAACTAAATTCAACTGACTTACGAACATTCTATAACAAAAAGTGGCACCTAGTAACGTTCAGAAAACATTAATTCAGATATCCTGATAGACCCTGAAGTTTTATCACTAACATTGCTAATTCTGCTGTCATAGCCAGATGGTGATTGGTGAAGAATCACCAAATATGAAGAGTTTTTTCTACTTCTAATATCTTACTAATTAATATTATCTCCAGAAAACTAGATAGTAGCAAACAGAGAGAAAGAAAACTAGGTGATAATCTTCCAATGCAACAGAAAATTAAAAAACATAAAATATAATCATGAATCTGAAATACAACATACGTTGTTCCAGCAATCCTTGTGCTAATGTGAGTGATGTCATCTGGAAATAATTTAGCCAACCCGAAATCTCCTATTTTTGGCTTGAAATGTTTGTCAAGTAGTATGTTGCTTGCCTTGATGTCTCTATGCACAATGTGTGGCACAAGTTCTTCATGAAGAAATGCAAGACCTCTAGCAGTACCCATGCAAATATCAGATCTTTTTCTCCAGTCTAATCTGATATTTGAACCTCTTGCACCTACAAAAAGTAGAATAAAAGAAAAAAAAAGGTTATCGTTTCATTCTATCATCTGCACATGGATTTCAATCAGTGATTCCATAATTCACAGCAAAGCATTTGGAAATTTACCAATTAATGCACGATCAAGGCTGTTATTTTCCACATATTCATACACTAATATGCGATTAGTTTCTTGAACGCAGCAACCAACCAATTCAACAAGGTTTGGATGTTTAACATTTGATATAGTTTTAATTTCAGATAAAAATTCACGAACTCCCTGCTTTGACCCAGCAGAAAGTGTCTTCACTGCTACTTGTCTTCCATTTTTTAAGGTTCCCTGGCAAATTTCAACATGGCTATTTAGTACAGGCTTAACAACCAAGAGGAGAATAAAATAATAAAAATGTGATATTATTTCTTGGTTCCTCAGCTTAACTAAGCTAAACCAGTAAAGAACCCTCATAAATTGTAAATTTGTCTTTCTATGACAAAGGAGGTTTCATAAGGCTTCCGATGAGGGAAAGGGTAAGCTGAAGAAAAAGTATTTCTTTTCTACCCAATTCTATACATCCTTCAGTTTTATGATTTTAGCAAATAAAAAAGAGTGGTAAGGTTTACGATGTAATGCTAAAGTAATATTTATTTATGTTGAGGCACAAAATAGAAGCATTGTTTGTACCCACATCAGAAAGCCTCTCTCACTGTCTCAGGGAAAGTTGACAGTGCTCAAATCTTATAACTCATAGTACAAAGCATGAAAGCAAGATTCTATGATGTCAATAAAGGGGTACAAGAAAGAAATATGATGCAATGTGCCATAGTAAGTGGAGCATGTCAAGTGAGAGGAGCAAACAATTCCATTGGATCATGTGTGCGAGTTCAAGATAAGATACAAGTCACATGAATAGTAATGAATATCTAGATCATGGAAATGGGGTTTTGAACGTCATGATGGTTTTACTGCCACAATAACAATCTAGTAATGTCTTCCTTTGGATAATACCCAGCTGCTAGAAGATTGGCCCTTGTATAACAAATGAAATCTTATTTCAACATCACAGAAAGATATAAGTGAAAAGAGAAAATTACAATAGCCCTCTTGTACCACAGACATCTCAGAAAGAATTTTTTGGGTAATGTTACAACTGATGAACAGGCATATTAATTCGCATAACGTTACAACTTATATTAGAGTCTGTGACTTAAATACCTGGTAAACAGTTCCAAAACCTCCTCGTCCTAGCTTTTTGCTTGGATGATAGTTATCAGTGGCCAGTCTCAGGTCTTTATCAGAAAAATTCTTAACATTATCAAGCGGAAAGCCTGAGAAACAAAAGATATGTATATCACAATCAAAATGGTGATAAATATAGGAAAAACAAAAAAAATGTACTTATAAAAGTATTCCTAAATATATACCAGAACTCTTTTAAACATCATTATTGTACCACACATCAAAACCAACCAAACTAGTAAAAATCCCCAAATTATGCTTGTGTTCCAACTTCTGAGATTAATTTGGACCTATGTATGAACTAAATGGACACATTTATCTTTTGAAGTCTACAACTTAACGAACTGTTACTCTTGTCAGACCTGCCTACCAAGTGACCAAAACGCAACTATGCGAGATGGTTTGATTAATAAAACTCAAGTCGAACCAATATTCAATATATCACTGTTCTATACATTAATGATCAAGGTAAATTTCCAGTCAGAAAGTGCAGGCTCATAGGTAAAGCTAAAGCCAATAAAAGGAACAGGAAACTTGCAATCAATAGTGTCTAGCTTATTGAAAGGCTGCAGAATATCGAAACAAATAATCAACAACCACCCTCACCATCAATCTCATTAGGAGTATGAGAAGGATTTCTTTTCTTCTTGAGAGTTGAGGCTCCAAAGCAGCCACAACTCATAATGATCCTGGGATGTGACTGCTGCACTCTGCACTATTTACCATATTTCAACATAAGTGAAAAGTGCCATTTATACATTTTAATTGCAAAAACTATAGATATAGCAATGCAAAGGCATGGAAATCAAGCACACACTTTAACAAGCTAGAATAAATAACACGCTCAACTGAAATGATTCACGGCTTTGTCCAACAACCTGACACCGATTGCTGAACTTGGTAAATATCACGAATAGGAATATTAAAATTCTCACAAACCGAACCGAATTGCATGGATTCAATAACAGAAATTTCAATAAAAATCAATTGTTTCAATTTTCATATCAATCGTTCCATTCTTATATTTCTTTCTGCTGAATCGGTGATCAAACTTAGACCCTTCAGACGACTCTATACAGACAAAAAAAAAACACCGAACCATACTGAAGGATAATTCCAAGTTTGAAAAATTTTTCCAATTTCACCAAACCAAAAAAGAAGAAAAAAACAGAAGAGAGAATGAACTCCCAAGATAAAACCCCATTTCCAGATCAGCTCATAATCGCAATCTGATTTGAGCATTCAGCTTATCATCGAGAAAGACTGCACCTTTAACATGTAAAAGACAGGAACTCCATTTGGGACAAGAACCCCTTTTGGGAAACAAGGGAGAAAAGTAAAAGAAAAAGTATGATCACCTTTGGGAGCCAAGAGAAAATGCTCAAGTCTAAGGAGAGTTAGGTAGCTAAATAGGAAGGAGTTGAAAATTAAAAAGATGGAGGGGAAAGAATGGTATTAAAAAGAAGTGGTTTATGTTGTGTGCTTGGTCTTGCGGCTATAGCGAGTAATGCGCGTTTGTGTGTTCGTGTTTCTTTTCTTTTCATGGTTGCGTTGTTGTGTTGTTTTGTATTGTATTCTCACTTGCTTTGGTCCAACTCCGTGCACACAAATGACCGTTTCTTCTTTCGGTTCCACCAGGCTGCCAAAGACTGTCTCCAACTAACACCAATCACTCTTTCTTTCTTTGCATCCAAATAAATGTGTTCCTCAATGCATTCCTTCTAGTATTCTATGTGGTCCTTTTTTAAGGATTTCTCCATGTCATGTGTTATGTTTGTTCAAAATGCTTAACTCAATAATCTAATTAAGGTTCTTAAATTAGTATCCTCTAACATTTATTTGCATGACTTTTTCATCATTCTTAGTGTTTACTTTTTCACGTTTTAACCTTTTGGTTTTGAGTTATGGAAGAAAATTTGTCTCATTACATAATGCTTTCCTATTGGGTAGTATTTACAGTCATACAAACTTGTTTATTTACTTTCTAATTTAAAAGTTATTCTTTTTATTGCCATGCTACTATTTTATCCTCTTTTAATCATTGTAGTTAAGAGTATTACTATTATAAAATTAAAAGTAACATAGATATTGACAAAAAAATATATCATGAAAGTGGGTAGTTAAATAGGTGTATTTTATTTTTAAAAAAAAACAAAAGAACTAAAAAGCTCAATCTTATTCAACTAAACTATATGGCTAATTAAGTAACATTATTTTTTTTTGTTTTATAAATAGTGATAATAAAACAAGATTTGTCAAGAAAAAATGAGTTTGTATATATAAATTAAAAATAGGGTTTTAGACAAGTTAATTTGAAAACGTCTGTCCCAATTGAATCATATATATAAATTAATTTAATGATTGAGAAAAAAAGTTTTTAGTAAGTCCCGTAAAGAAAATTATTAACAGGTCTTAACTTTTAAAAGGGTTATAGACTCAAAACTTGCATTCCCAAAGCGGATACTCGAAACTTGTTACATGTCAAACATATGAAATCTTATCTTAGTTTATTTGACCAAACTCTGTCAACTCTTTGAAATTATTTAAATTGTTATACGATTTCACATTTCTTATTCTGTTCTTTTTCTTTTAACAAGGTAATGATTAGCAAGATTTTGTATGTTAGTTACGTAAATGAAGACAAAGCAGTCTTAACTAACTAGCTGTTAAATACTCTATTATAACCCAATATTAACTTTTGCTGAAAAAGAAATATTAACTAAAAATAAGAAGAACTAATGTTCCATAAACAAAAAAAGCATTCAAAAAGTTATTTTTTAATAGTTTGAATTGTGTTGATATAATATTACGGAAGAGTTTAAAGTTATTTCCTTAAGTAAACACTTACATTCATTCTTTAAAAAGTAATGGCAGACCCTGGAAAATTTAAGAATGTAAAATTATCAATTTTAAGTCATTAGACATGTACCGTTGTTAGGTTATAAGTGATGAAATTACTCGCAAAATTCGATTCAAGTTAAATATTTAAGTAAACCACATTTAAATTAGAGAAATTAAGGAAAAAATATTTTGTTGGGTTGGTAAAATAATCACAAAAAGAAAATACAAAGAATAAGAATAAAAAAATAATTCTATCATAACAAAATATTATATATAGAATATGTTTTCATATCCCAAAACTCTAAGATAGTGGAAACAAATCGTTATCTAATAGAGATATAGATGATAGATAATTTAACTAATGAAATATTATTTGATATGTTGTATTAGATTGTTTGTTTATATGGTTCATAGTGATCCAGGGTTAATGCATTACCATTATTTATCTTAATTTTAAATCTTCAGATAATTTTTTTATAATTTTTCTCTATTTTTAAATGAAAATTTAATTTGCTCCAACAATGTTTGAATATCGATCTTGGCAAAGTCTTCATAAGTGGTTCTCCTTCTAAGCTATCTTCATAATTATGACTTTTCTATATACAACAACATCTCTAATGAAGTGTAATTTAACATTGATGTGTTTAGTTCTCTCATCATATATTTATCTAATGATCAACTAGTAGTCATGTCTTCATAATCTATGATATTTTGGTTATCGCAAAAAGTAGTCATGTTTGTTTAACTCTCCTGCCACCCCCTTTAATCTCAGAGTCTCCTTCACCACTTTTGTAAGCATGACATGCCCAGTTTGAGTAATGAGTAAAGTCACCATTGATTGCAAACTAGCTTTCTAACAAATTGTAGTTTCAAACAAACAAACAAACCTTTTAATAACTTTTCTACTATTGGTATATAGTTTTACACCAATCTAGATGATAATATTGTTTCATTCAAATATCTTAACACCTGCTTCATAGCCTCAATAAGCACGTCCAAAATCCACCATGATCTACTAACCACACTAACATGTGTCACATATGGTTTGCTACACATATCCCATACGTGATGCTTATTACTCCATTGTATAAAATATGAAATAATCTTCATTTTTCACCTTTCTTGATGCGATCTCAATACAAGAGGAGCTTGTATCACCCAAAGGAGGAAGGGTTCAAGAAAGAATAAATAACAATAACTCAAAAAATATTATTAAAATTATGAAAGAAGATATACAAAGAATACGTACAAGAAGTTTGAAGAAGACACTAAAAATATTTTTCTTAACATTTTTGTATTTTTCTTATAAATAAAAATATAGTTTGGCTACCAAGATAGTTTGGTTGGGAACGTAAGAGAACCAACCAAACAAGGCCTTGTTTGGAAGGAATATGACAACCAAAATGCAATATGGGCTTCATATTTTATGGCTATGCTTATATAAGCATGCAACACTCTCACTCTAACACAATTTACATAAATGGAATAGATGAGTCATGACCTTTCTCTCTTTTTGTGAATTCAAGAGGTAAGTCATCAATCCTAAAATCTTATATTTAGTTTTTAAATCCTCAATCCTAAAATCTTATATTTAGTTTTTAAACTCAAGTGGTGATTGTCTTATTTCACTCAACTTTCTCTTTAGAAAGTGAGATGTTTCCATCTTTTTATCTCTTGAGATAGAACATCTTTTAGACTCCAAAAGACTCATAAAATGACATATCTTATTACAATATTAGCCTATTCTCTTTTGAGACGAGAGTTTATACCCCTCTCATTCCTCACTTTCGCTAAGCATTCTACCTTATAGTGACCTCTCCTATGGTTATATAGCACTCACTTTTTTTCACCATATTGTTTGATGAATGTTTTGGTTTCTTCCTTTGCGCCTTCCTTTTATTCATACTCTTTGACTTTGAAACATTCAAACTCAACTTTTATCATTTATCTTAGATTATTGAAGCTTATGAAGCTCCTTAATTTGAGGGTTATATCACATCTAAACTAATTACTTTTTTCTTCCTAGACAATAAAACATCTTTGAAATGCCAAAGTTTCTTAGGCAAGACACTAAGAAGAAGTAAAAACTTATCTTCTTCTTTGAATTTCACTTCAATGTTCTCAAGATCGTCTAGACTCTTGTTAAAATTTGTCAGTTGTTTTATCTCTAAGTCACAAAATTATTGTACTTTTAACCTTATTGATCATGTTAGTCTTCTCTTTTTGAGACAAAGACACTAACATGTTTGTCTCATCCTTTTTTCATAAGCACATCCTTATTTACCAAAAGAGATCATCCATAATCTACCGTGGTTCTTATTATAAAACTTCTCAATATCAAACTTAGTATCATAGATTCAAATCTTACTCTTTTTTTACTATAATTCTCTTGCCTTGACAAAAAAAGTGTCAATTAAGATTCACGTACCAATTACAACAACACAAATAAATGATAGTAATCGTGTTATAATAGAAGACTCTACATACATGGTATAAGTTTTACAATGTTTATCACATGCTCAAAAAGTTTCACATGTTCTCGGTATATAGAACTAAGGAAAAGGAATAACACAAAACATTAAGATAATTAAAAAAACATCATCTAATACAAGAAGTAAACAATAAATGATTACTTAAACTTAACACTATTAAATGTTTTCTAGTAGACTATTTTTTTTACTCTTCATAATAAAAACATAATTTAAATTCAACACATCACATATTTTAATATTAATATTAATATTGAGTAATATTGTTTTAAATTATTAATTATACATGAAATTGTAAAATCTAAAAAATTAAAATAAATGAATTATTTAAATAATAATGTATTATGATTTTTTAATAGTATTAGTTCTTTTAAAAAAAACTTACAAATTAATGAGTTTTTTAGATGATTACTACTCAAATAAAAAAAATATGAATTGTAGTGTACTCAGTAGCCACTGAAAGGAGCCTGGTCCGACGAGGAGTTGGGTCGATCGTCCACCCAAAAGGAGTAACAACTGATAAGTATTAAAGGTCAATTAATGTTATAAGGAATGAAGTGTATGGCTTTAATGACCAGATAACAAACAATAGGAAACATAATATACGGCATTGATATGATATTGATTAGCAGTTAATGGTTATTATTAAGAATCAGGTCTATAAATATGGGATTTAAGTCCAGGTAAAAAGATCTTTTTTCTGAATTATTATCACCTTGATCTCCGTAAAGCTAAATCTGAGTTGAGCGTCAAAGTGTTTCTTGCAGGGGCCAACCGATCGATTTTGTGGAGAGGAGTCTACATTGTTGGAAATCGCATAAGCACAACAGGGAAGAAGGAGGAATCGCAGTCTAGGACCTAGATACAGAAACACGAATAGATTTTTTGCTTTTAACTACTTTCTTCTAATTTAACATTATTTCCACTGTCAAGCCAATATATAATAAATATGATAATAAAAGAAAAAACAAAACAAAAGAAAAAAAATAACATGTGTCACAAAATAATGGATGACGTGACATGTTGTTAGTCACATAAAAAGAAAAGTTGATACGACTAATAATTAATTGAGATTAGATTCAAACATTTTAAGGTTAGGGATATAAGTGGATCAAATTTGCTATGCTTTATAATTTAAAAAAAACATAATTGTATAGTATGATATCTAGACCGAGCAGTTGTCAGCCACAACCAATCGACCGATCGCTCTATCTACTATAGAGACGACTCGCCATCTTCCACCTATACCAAACGCTCGTCAACTATCCTATAGTTGAAAGCGCTCATCAAACATCCATAAGCATGTTAAAGCGTTCGTCAAAAGTCAAGCGAC